CAGTACATACAAGTTCTGTCATATCAGTATTATTGTTGGTCAAAGCAGTTAGGTCTAACTGTAACTAATGCTAAAGCAGGTGTTATTTTCAGTTAGGTCTATAGACATAAATTATTTCAGCTTTAAGCATGAACCAGTAAGATTTGTCATTTGCCATAATAAAAATGACTTAGCATATTATAATCTCAAGATTTTAGTTGTATTGAACCCAGCTATATATAATTTATGTATGCACTACCTATATTTCCTGAATTATGACTGGGTTAAATAACACAGTGTTATGAAAGTTTATTATAAATGAGACATCTTAAAATATTAAATGTATAATTTATTGAGTCATTTCTAAAGTTAAGAAAAATATATAAATAATGAATAGTTTATTTTTTTAATTTGAATGTTTTTTTAGACTCACACTTTTATAGTGTATCTGATAGTCTTCCAATATTTCCTAAACATCTGATAGTCATATAAATTTGTTTGAATTGTATGCAATAAAAATAGTAAAAGCATGTTATGTCTTTAGTTATTGTGAGTGGAATGTCTGTGAAGACAGTTTTTAATATTTTTTTCAGTATAGATCTAGGTATGATGCCAACATCTATAACTTATAGTCTACTATACTGCATTACATACTGACCTAATTGTCATTTACATGCTGGAATCATCAGCATGTAATAATAAAAAGGTTAGAATAAAACACAAGTTTAACTGAAAAAAACTTATGAAAATTGGGTTAAATTATGGATTTTTTTAACATTGACATTTTTATATTTTGTTAAGCTCATTTACTAGCTTGAGAACGGATTAGCATTAAGTACTAGACATATTCCTCTAAATAAGTGTTTGTGGGTATGTTTTATAAGGGCACCAAAGGCTTAAGAATTTATGTCCATAAAAATTTTAATACATCAGTGGACTAACAGTTTGCATCATTAGAACTACTTTTCATTTTTAATGTATCAAGTGTTAATATCAAAACAAGAAAATTAGCTATTAATATACACTGGTTTTGCTGGACTAGCCTAGAAGGCCAGAATCCAAGATCTATGTACAAGAGTCCCAAGAGAAAGACTCGTAGTAAACTGTCAGAAAACATTTTATTTATTAATTTTTTGTAATTACCTTGCACTCGGTTTTTAACAAGATGGGTGCAAACATCAAGTTTCTTCAGCATACAAGAGCGTATATTAAAAATCAGCTCTCCACAGTCCAAAAATTTATTGACTGCTTGTCTCACTAAAATTAACCGATTTCTATGCTAGAGCTCCAGATGCTCAAGTAACGTCAGTGTACTCAACCATACATGTCTTGCCATTCTGGATCTTGAATATATTGACATATATGCATAATATATTTTATAATTTTTTAGGTAATATATTAACTGATACCAAAGATATTTTCAGATTTTTTTCAACTGATTAAAATAATAAAATGATAAAAAGGAATCATACCCAACCAATGTGTGTTTTCTTTGCTTTTGAATTAGAACATCAGAAGTTGACATTTTGTCTTAACAATAATATTAATTATATTTTCCAATTTTTTGTAATATTAATATTAACAAAGATAATCTTAATTTTAAGAGAATTAAGTTATAGTTGAATAAGTACAGTTCAACAATATAAGGTAATATTATTTTTCTAAAATCTTGTGTAATACTTTATCTGTATTTATTCATTTATTATGTCGTAAGGATTAACAGCTTTATAAGCCCAAATTAAGTAATGAAGAACAAACACAAATTTACAAAAATCTGAAGTTGATTAGTTTCGACGTACCATGTGTATCATTTTCAAGTGTATACTGTGTGTTTGTACAGTGACATCTAGCGTGTTGCTGTACACACTCAGTATACCCTTGAAAATGATACACGTGGTACATCAAAACTAATCAACTTCAGATTTTTGTAAATTTGTGTTTGTTCTTCATTACTTAATTTGTGCTTATAAAGCTGTTAATGTTTACAGCACAAAGTGCTACTTAACTTGATTATTTATTATTTCACTGTTTTAATTTTTTTATCTAAAATTTTATAACTTGTTTTCCACCTTTTCTCCAAACCTTTATTCTAATATTCATGGTATTGTTATATTATATAACAAAATCAAACTTTTAGTTCATTCGGGTTTCTGAAGCTTTAATACACCTGTTCAAAATGTTGTACAGAGATTTACATTTCCAAGTGGTTTTAATATTACACCATGTTATTTATTCTGTATAAAAACCCTTCAGCAGTTTTTAAAGATTAGGATTCAGTCTCCTCAATTTTTCTGTGTTCTGTGAAAAACAAGAACATAACTTTAGACCTCTACTTATAAATTAAGTTTTCAAATCAAATTTCATTGTAGGAGTTGTCTTTTTACTGTATTCAACACAATAATTTCTGTTATGTTGTAAGTAAACCTAAAATGTGTACAAGTAATTATGAATGAGATTTCATCAGAGCCATGTATAGGGTACAAAATACAGATTAGTCATCAGTTGTTTGTTTCTGAACATTTTTACCTATTGTGTGCTTCATAATGTTGACCTGTAGAACAATAATGACTATCTCACGATTTATTTTCTGTGATAATTTACAATATATACGTAAGGTATTTGAATAGAAAGACCAAATCAAAATTATAATGAAACTTACTTTTCAGGATGCAGAACATTAAGACATTATATTTAACTACCAGCTAAGAACAGGCAAGACTTGTTTATGCTGTTGTCAGATTTTGTGTATGTAATATACCATCTATTTATATACAGTACTGACTCGCAGGGGAGTAGTAAGGGCATGCAGCATTGGGAACAAATCTGTTTTAAATTGCATTCATATTTCTTTCCATGCATGGTTCCCTTGTGCCGAAATGTCAGAACACTATTTTTGTGCAATAATTGCTTTTGTTGGAGATGGTTTTTGACTGATTATTTATCAAATCTTAATCCTTCAAGGAAGTCATATCACACATGCATTTACTGTAACTGTTACTGGCGTAGGCCTGTTGCCTGTTTGACATTTTGCAGTAAAATCAATTAATGAAGTACATGTACTGATTAAGCAACTTGTTACTTAAGCATTGCTTTTGTAAGTTTGGACACAGAAATTTTTTTAATTAGTCGTACCTATTGGGTGTTGGAATATAGTTTTAGTTGTTGTTTTTGTGAAAGACAAATGTATTATTGGTATTACTGAACCTTACAGTATTTAATTATTATTAAGATTATGTAATATTTGCTCTTGGGTATAGTGTGAAATGTAACTTCTACTTTGTGAACCTGTATGCATGTAACACCAGTCGTCAAATAGTTTTCAAGGATTTTATTTCAGTGCTTAAAATATTATTTGAAGTGAAAATTTCACATTCTGTTTTAATGTTATTTATGGAAGATACTCATATTTACTTAATAACAATTTACTAACTACAAGTATTTTATTTATTTAGTCTTATATATATATATATATATATACCTTGCGTAAAGTTTAAGGTCAGTTCTGGTCTGATTTATATGTTCTAAATGGCCTAACAGGCAGTAAAAATAACTTTTCTTAATAATGCTTATGTAAAACAAGTTGTATAGTGTAACGTTTCTGAAACTCTCCACTAATGACTAAAGTTTATCAACATCTAGTGCAAAGGAGTATCATGCTTCTCCTTCCACAATAAATAAAATCATTAACATTTTCCAGCTAGTGGAATGCAATGCTCATATACATTAGCTTCACCAAAGCAATAACAGTAAATTACATTCATTGAGCTTTAAGTAAACATGTGAATGGCATTATTAATATTTTTGATAATGTTCAAGCAATAATGAATCTTTTTTTTTTTTTATTAAGTTTTATTCCAAAATCTGTTATCTAATGCTAAAACTGTTTCTTTTCAAAGGCATTTTAAACAAGGAAGTCATTTTGTCATCTTACTGCTGCCATCAGAGTGGGATTAGATCAATTTCTTTAGAAAAGATTCTTTTAAAAAACTTTCATTTAGCAATCAGTTTGAAATTTCTCTAACAATAAGAATTGTTATATAAACACTAGACTAGAACCAAAGTAGTGAAATTTTCAGACCTGGTCTTATGTTAGGTAATACATCACTAGTAGATGGATTTTTTTTTTATTAATAGTTCATTAAAATACAAACAAAGAAATTGGAAACCTTTAGGGAACAGCAAAAAATTGGATCAAAATTCTCAATTTTTTTATGTAAAGATTTCTATAAAACATTGCTGTTACTTGAAATATACATTAAAATTATTCATATTGAACTGTATTGAATAATAACTTTTAGTAGTTATTCTGTATATTTCTTTCTTTGCAGAAGGAAACAATAATTATTATATTGTAAAGTTAAAATAAAGAACAGTTTAGTGTTATCCATGCCCAAAAACAACAGTTCAGTGATATCCATGCTCAAAAACTATAATATTTCCTTAGATTACTGTGTATTAGGTTAAATATTTAAGTAGGATAAGTCAAGCATGTACTGTAATCTCCAGTTAACTATTAGTTAATTCTTGATCTTTAATTTTTTTGTTATTCAGTCTTAAAAGAGTGCAACTTAGATCTAACTTCCATCCATTGTACATATAGTTGAGTATGTTTAATTTATAGATATTATATGACTTTTTTTTTCTACTGCAAGACTTGCTGAGAAATGCCTAGATGGAGATGTTAAGTTTGATGTAACTAATAAAACGTTTTTATTGCTGATAGACTAGTAGTCCAGTTTCCAAAAACATTAACTTCCAACTACTAAATTTAACATTCTTAAGCATTATCCATAATGTTGATTTTTTGTAATTTTAAATTTTTTGGTTGGTTGTTATATGTGGAAATTGCTCATTTGTGTTGTTGATTTATGTCATATTCTACCTTAATTCCCTGATTTTAATATAGATGAATATAATTTTTTATTCCCTTGTAAGTTTCCTTTCTTTTATAAAGTTGTTAAAAAAATTTTTTAATGTAATATAAACTTTCTAATCAAATATTTTTGTCTGATTTTTTTCAGCCTGTTATGGCATTGTACAGGTACCAACAGGTCCGTGGTTTTGCAGGAAATGTGAATCTCAAGAACGTGCTGCAAGAGTGGTTTGTTTCTTTCTTGTTTTTATTTTGTTGGTACCACACAAAATAAGATAAAAACAAAGTTACATGAACAACATAATTTCTGTTTTATTAAACAAAAGTAATACCATGTACTGAATCAGCATAAGAAGCTTTAATTCTGTAAAGCATTTATTAATGAGAAACCAGTCTGTTAAGTAAATATTTTAATATGTTTATAATTTTCTATCATGACGTGAAGTTTTTAAACTCTTGTTAATGTGAACTAAAAATATAAATTCTACACAATTTATTATAATCAGTGAACAACTAATTTTTTACAGGACAGAGTACAGTGTAATAAACCTACGTTTTGTGATTTATGAAAATAAGACATTGTTCTAAATTTTCAAAACTACTTGGTTAAAATATTGTCAATTTACCTGGCTATTTTCACTAATGAAGTGTTACGTGACTATTTCAATTGGAAATGTTAATTCTTAAACCAATCCTTCTGTACTAGAAAAGGCATTGTAAAACGACGGTCCCACAGCCTTTTTTTTCCTGCAGTAAAGAAGGGACTATTTTTTGAAACACAATAAATCAATTGAAGCTATATGAGAATTGTAGGCACTGTTCAAAAAGATTTAAGTCCCCTTAAATATTTTCTTTTCAGTTTTTGTATTTCACTTGCATAATCTCTAGAACATTCTAAATGAATATAAAAAGTTTTTAGTTTGTTTTTTTCCAGTGAAACTATGTATTTATCTGTCATTTTCTCTCTACCCTAACACTAACCGTAGCTAATCATTATCATACAGTAAAATGGAATTTTGAAAATAAAGTGATTAGTACTTTTTTCTTCTTTTTTGAAGACAGTATTCTGGGATATTGATAATTTTCTAATATATTCACAATTTTAATTGATTACCTTTTCACATATAGTCAGGTTTGTAGGCATACAGTTTATTCATTCCCAAATATCACAGTGGGAAAATACTAACAAAATCTTGGAGACCGACACATGAAAGTTTGCCCTCGGAAACATACTGAGCTAATCCTAGCACTATTCTGTTGTTGAAACATAAATTATAATACATTTCAAATATGTATTTTAGAACATAAATTATACATGAATCACTAGAATAGAATGTCTAAGAACAACTATAATTTACCTGGCTTTTGAATTAAGCTATAAGTAGGTTAACATTTTGAATACTACAAACATCAGCTTCACTTATACATACACATCAGTTAATTCTCATGGAGTCAAATTCAAAAGGGTGGTTGCAAGCTTGAAATAAAAGATAAGCTCCTTCTGTTGATTTATAAACATATACATCAATTACGAATATGTGGTTTTGAAAAACTGCCTTGGAAGTTAAGGATGGATAGATGGGAGTTTTGTTGTGGTTTGGTAAAATTTATTGATATTTTATCAAACAGAGAAGTTAAGATGTTGAAACTGTATGTTTAATCTTGTTATTGTTTATATATTGTACTTACATTACTTAGAAAGTGTAGATTCTATACTGCTGAATTTACATAAACCAAAAGGGGAAGAAATGAGAGCTCTCGCATATCACTTGGCAAAAAAAAATGAAGATTAAGATTTTATTTTCAATATTTTGAATTGAAATTGAAACTTAGATAATATAAAGATTACATTCTACATTCTGATACTAATTTTATTGATATATCTTGATAATAAAGTTGTTTAATTAAATTTTGAATGTAACTAAAAATATCATGACATGCACTTGGTTACAAGGTAGGTCAAAATGTCCAAACCCATATGCAAAGGCTTAAATATACTGTAGAACCAATATCAGTTAATGTCAGTGATGAATTACATAGGAGTAAATTAGAAAGACCTGAATAAAAAAAATCCTTAAAGAAATGATAATATTTAATGAATTCAAGTTACAATACAAGATTAAATTATCATCATAAATTTGTTTTTAGTGCTGTTTTAAAACTGCATATCAATTACAGTAAGATTATTTAAATAAGTTGCAGTTTCAGGATATTTTAGGAATAAACCACAAGTTAGAATTAATGTATCGGGTCTTTGGGGTTAAAAATTTAAATTGTCTCTTGGGATGTTTCAGAATTAGTTAAACCATGGCTACAGTGATCTTATTAAGTAATATTGGTTATTAATATCGTAAACGAAATTGTGAGGAGTTATACGGGAGGGGATTATCATTGCTGTAGGCAAATAATTCTCACTGTGATGTGATACAGATAAAATGTATGTGATACCAGATTAAAGCAGAGGGGTAACTTCCTGGCTACTTAAAACCTGAGAAAAGATTTCAAGATTGACAAATTGCTAAAACACCACTGACTGAGGTCTTTCCCGGTTATTTCAGAATTAATATGAAGCGGGAAGGAAAAGAAAAAAAAAAGGTGCAAATAGGAGAACGAGGAAAACAAAAATTGTAAAGTGAGAATAATGACCAAAAACTGCATCATAAAAGAAATGTTGAAAATATATTTACATATACTCGTTAACATTCCAATATACAGTAAGATCAATTATAAGACTTAGGAATTGAAATAAAAATGTGGGCTAATACCATGAAAAAAAAAAGTACTCTATGTAAGGGTGTATATTGTGTAATGTTGTTCACATATGGGAGTGTTATCTTTACTTGGAGATCTCTGACATGAATATATTAGAATCTTCATTAGATAGAAAATAAGACAATACGGGTAAATTCAACCTCTTCATACATGATTGGTTAGAATAAATAAACTGATTACTTGATGTACATGTAAAAAAATTCTGTATGGTGCTTTATACAGAAGGGTGAAGTTTTTTAAGTACTACGAAAATATTCTCTTAATAGAAGTTCAAAGTGATGTCTGTTTTAGCTTTGTTTAAGTGGTATGGCAAGAAATATAATGTCTTAAGGTTAGGAAGGGTACCATGGTATGACCTCTGATGTGGTATGTACCTGGCAGCTCGTTAACATTTTGTAATAAATTTGGTAGTATGATCTGTAGCAAGATAGAGTACTGGAATATATATACAAATTGAGTGGCATCTGTTTGTTTACTGTGAGCTCTTGAATTTTGATACACTTTATTGTGTAATAGATGACAGTAAAAATGTCATTAAACTCAGGCTTATCTGACAAAACAGGGAAGCTGTTCCAAGTAATTTGATCTGTGTATGGTGAGAGCTAGTTCTGAATTAACGTAAGCACAAGTTGTTTTTTGTTGAGCTTTGTGGATTAATTTTGACATTTATACAGTGTTCTCTGTTGACAAAGTGGTCAAGGTAATTAATAATTTGTTAGAAGGACAGGTAAAGTTTTCATTAACATTCTACTACATTTCAGTTTTTTTATTTTCACAGGGAAAATTTCTATGTTTTTGACATTATTACATAATTTTGAGGCATGTATCTCAATGGTAGAGCTGGTGATTAATCAATATAGTTGGTTGCTTCTGAGCATCAATTGTATTAATTAGTATTGTGTAAAATAATTAATTGTCACAAAAATAATTACCTAAGTGAATTTAGGCTTTCTGAGTATTATTGTTTTTTATTATTCTAACTATCCAAGTGTTCAAAATATTGCCATTATGATTTCTCTTTATCATTTTTGATTAATTCAAGGTTGTTCAGCTTAATTGATTAGAGTCACAACTGAAGAAAATAATCAAAATTAATATTTCTGATATTATAGTTTTTGATCATTCCAGCTATCCTAGTCTCATGGGAGAATAGTTGATTAGTTGAGTGTAATCCATTAATGAGCTTGGTGGTTATAACTAATTCCACTGATCGTCCATCTAGAGCTATTGTATTTTAGGTTTTGTTGCCTACAAGACATAGTATTTTAATATATATAATGCTATTTAGAATATATTTAATATATTTTGTTGTCTCAAAATAACAGTATGGAGTATGCATAATTTTCATAATCTCAAACCTGTAAGAATTCAAAATTATAATGTGCTACAGAAGAGAACCATTAAAGACAGTAGTTTTAATATTAATATGAGTTGTGGTTTCATATGAGGGTTTTATAATCGGGGAAGAATTCAGAGAGCTGTTATATTTATTGTTATGCACAAAGCTTCATAATGGGCTATCCGGACTCTGCCAAAGTTTATTCAGCTTTAGTGATATGAGGGGGTCGTGATTTGAGGGTCTCAGAATTAATTCCCATTTCAACCAGACTTGTTCAATCTATCTTTGTTATGGCAAAGGTATTCAGACTATCTGTTACTGTCACTAATTTGAACTGTGGACTAGAAGGAAAGCAACTGGCTGGCAGCACAAATATCACTTTGTCCTGCCAGCCTAAGTGCCAGCTAGGACACTTGTAAGTGAAGATTTTTAGATGAGACTACAGAGAGACTTTTTGTAGCTGTCTTGGTGACAGTGTTTTGTGAAATTTAAAGGTATTGCAATTGGCAGTGGACGAGTTGTTAGGATATCTGATGGTTTAAGTCATTGGTTTTTACAGTATCTATTGAAGCAAAGGCCTAATGTCCTAATAAACCAACTTCTTATTAAGTTGTCGTCGTATACAAGTTAAGTTTTAATTTCATGAAAGATTCCTGTATTATTGGTGCTAGTAGGTCTATAAAAGAAAAAAAAGGTCAGGCTTGATTTAAGCTAATTGAAATATTTTATGTATACAAATTCTTCAAATGCATGTACATTCAATTAATATTGCATTTTCTCTTCAGCGGTGTGAACTCTGTCCTTCTAAAGATGGTGCACTAAAGAGAACAGATAATGGAGGTAAGCCTTTGTAACACTGTCATTTTTGTACCATTCTCTGTCCACAAGTTTTGTCCAATTATAAATACACAAACTGTGAATAAATTAAATGTCTTAACTAGCAAATATAGTTCATAGTAGATCTTATTAATAACAGGAAAACAAAGTGCTTTAATTTTCTCTTAAAATTTCAGTCATATTTTGGTAATAAATGTGATGTAGAAAATATTTTACTTCAGAATTTTATTGAATAATACACATACTGTATTTCACTGTGAGTCTTGTCTGTTTATAGCCTGTCTCGTATATATGTGTAAGGTAATGGTTCAGAAAGTAACTCATGGTATTTAGTTCTTGTGGATCCAAAAAGTCAACTGTAGTTTCAGTTTTAAGCATAGATATGAAGAGTTATATTAATTTAAACAGAATCTAAATGAAAGTGAAGCCAGTGAGTTTTAAGTAAAGGATAAAACTTACTTTAAAATGTTTATACAAAGATTTAAAATTTTTTGATTGTATGTTATTGACTTTGAAATATTTGGAGAGGAAGACTTTAAGATTCAAGTTCAGCTAGGTATCAAAATGATAAAGCATATATACTCTGATTACCATCCAGTCTGACAACGTGAACAGTAATTTCAGCTATCAATAAAAAGTGTGAAGTATGAATTATTGTTTTAATTCTTCATAACGTGTGCTTCAAGAACAGAATTTCCTCTTTTATAGATGGTATTAAGTGTACACTGTCATGCCAGCTGTTAGGTAAAGTATTGTAATATTACTTGAGTGTAAGAAAATGTTTCCAACATGGTTGGTTTACAGAACTTTCTTCAACTCACATTAATTTGTGAACAGAAATATAAGTGTTCTGTGGTTACTTAGATCTTATTTCTCAGTATGAAGTTTATATGCAGTGTGTGGTAACTCTTCCAACTTTACAAAATATGATTAATTATGGAGAGGTGCAACTATTTTTATAAAAGTGTTATAATATATATATATATATAATAATTTGAATTATAAGTATACTTTTGTTTGTTGGGAATAACCTTAACAGTGTTATGGAAGAAAAGGATCTTGGTGTAGTGGTTGATCAGTCTCTTAAGCCATTCAAGCAGTGTGCTGTTGCTAGTGGTAGAGCAAATAGGATTTTAGGTTGTATCTACACAAATATTGAATGCAAGTCTAAAGAGGTTATAATATCATTATATAGGTCACTCGTAAGGCCACATTTGGAGTATTGTGTTTAGTCTTGGGCTCCTTACCTTAGGAAAGACATTGCATTGTTGGAAATGGTTCTGAGGAGGGCTACTAGAATGGTGCCTGGGATGGAGGGGTTGTCATATAAGGAGAGGTTATTACATCTGAAATTGTTTTTTTCTTGAAAAAAGAAGAGTTGTGAGGGATATGATTGAGGTGTTTAAGATTGTTAAGGGAATTGATAGTGTTGATGCATCATCTTTTTTCATGTTTAACGTGAGAATAATAAGACTAGGTTACACAAATATAAGTTTTGGCAAGGTAGGGGTCACCTTCAGCTAAGACAGTTTCATTTTGCTAACAGGGTGATTAGCCTTTGGAATGGGTTGCCTTCAGATGTTGTAGAGGCAGTAAATTTAAGTGAGTCTAAGAGAAAACGTGGTAATTACATGAATGATAAGGGCTGATTTTAAGGTTTTATTATTTTTTTCATTTAATAGTTTTAGTTTAGTTTAGAGGATGGGGCAGCCTAGATGGACCAATATGTCCCATGTTGTCTGTAAAAATTATTATCTTATAAGTAATGGAAATATTACAGTATATTAAAGGTACAAGAAGTATAGTACTATATATATGTTTAGTCATTTTTATAATGTATTTGAAAATACAATGAAAAATTAGTTGCAAAATTATATTAGATATTTCAAGTTATATGGACATCAGACTTAAAATCTGTATTGCTAGATACTGTGAAACCAAGATAATGTCAGTTTAAGAAGTCAGCTCAAGTACATGTTGTATAATCTCCCCCTCCAGAATTGATAGAAAAACTGAAAAAGTTATGAGGTGTTGGGGCAAAAGAAGATCATTATTGTGAACTAAATATGTAATAAATATAAATCTTTGTGGAAAGAACTTGACTAGTATGTACTGATTAACTAAGAAGGAATTGAAATTTTCTTCAAGCATGGTGTCTTTTGTGCACTAGGCTAAATTATTTTAGATACACATAATTCTTTGAAATGAAATATACAGATTGCATCCCTATGATTTTTTTCATTGTTATCTTTAAGGCTGGGCCCACGTTGTCTGTGCTCTATACATCCCTGAAGTTAGATTTGGTAATGTAACAACTATGGAACCGATCATCTTGGAGCTGGTACCCCAAGAACGATACAACAAAGTGAGTATTAACATCAAACTTCATGGACTAAAAGAAACAAAACTAAGTTTTTTGTTATTGAAACCTCTTTGCTTAAAAAATTTTGAGGAAAAAGTAAACTTAGAAAATATAGTTAAAAAGAAATACTTTAGCATAGTAATTTTTAATTTTTTTTAACATTCCAGCAATGTCTTCTAAGTAGAAATAACTTGCTTCCCCTCTATTTCTAGTTATTTATAATGCAGATATGTCATCCATGAAAACTGTTTAATTTGTTTGAAGTTTCACTATTTGCTTTAAAAAAGCCAAACTACTTCACATACTAATAGGTTGTGATATATCTTGTATACATATTGCACACCAAGGTGTCTGTTTGCTGTTTTAATAGCTGTGCACACAGACAAAGCTCAACTTTTACTTTTCAAATGACAGGAGAACAGACATGAATAATGCTGATACCAAATTTTATTTTTCAAGCTGGATATTCTATACTAGGAATTGTTAGGAATTAATCACACTATCATTCATATTTTAAATGTGACGTAACTTAAAGAATAAAAATGTAGATTTACCGTATGTTATAGTGGAGTGGCTCTTAGCATGACTGAAGTGCTCAACAATTACTTTTTTTGGTGGGCGGTATAAATAGCTCAGAGCTTTGGCTCTGAGTGAAACTAAGAGTGCAACACATTTAAACTTTTTAAAGCCCATGAAATAATTGAAATTTATTGATTAACTTAAACTTTTGCCCATCACTGGAGATAGGTACTTTTGCTTTTCTAACCTATATAAAGAACAGTGTGTCATGTCACGCTTGATTTCTTGAAATGGGAGGAGTCATAAAAAGCAAAATGTATTTACCCAGATAGAATAGTTCAATTACTGTCTGCCCATTACAATTTTAGTGGGATCATGAGGGGGGGTGCCGTGAAGCCTTATAAGTTTAGTGAGTGTTGGTATAACAGGCCTAAAGTGAAGACATAGTGTGGGATCACCTAGCCTAGAGCCGAGTGCATAAAATTTATCATGAAAGTAAAAACATCAATTCAATTTTAAACTTGTATCTTTTCTGAATTAAGCTATTTTCTGTTATATCATCAATGTTTTTATTTTAAAAAAACTTCTTTAATCAACAAAGGCTAAATTAAGAAATCAACAAAGTTTTTCCAGTTTTGTTGTATATACAATTCATTTTATACTTTCAGTACATA